TTAAATTAACTTTATTTTACTTCGACTTTTAACCGGAACTTTTATTTCTATTAAAAACATTCTTAAAAACATTTGCTTTAGAAATGCTTTTTAAACTTAATATTATTCCTTTTCCTTTTGCTTTTTTATTAAGCCCGATGCTAGTCATAATCGACCTTGCTATCTTACACGCTTTTATAATTGCTCGCATGCTATTATCAAATGCTTTAAAAGCTCTTTGCTTCAATAATGCTAATATTATCGACTTTATCGAGAAGTACGAAAAGACTTGCGATAACTTTAGTATCTTTATCGACGATCGGTTCGTTAAGCTCCTCCGTTACTATAATAATTGTCGGTATATCCATATCGACCTTAGCTAGCTAGTAGTAGTAGTTGGGGAAGCTCACTCGTAAACCATGGTTCACGGGTTACTTAGCATGCCTCGCTTAGCATAACATCAGTTAAAGGACCCTCAACTTAACAAGTAAGCTTATTAGTTAGCTAGTGCACGTGATTCCTTCTAATTATATAAAAGGAGTCAGCTCCCTTAAGCCTTAAAGAGCAGACAGAATTCAAATACTTTATCAACCGAGTATTTTGCAATTGCAAGTACTTTGACGAACGTTACGAAGTTACGAATATATATTTTCAATCGCTTAAAAGCAATCTAACATTAATTAATAGTTGATTTACTATTAAGTGATCAATCACAAAGAAGCTAAGACTCTATAGCGAGGATACTCTTTTTACTACGATACCTTCCTTTTTTTATAACGGAAAAGCGATTCCGTACCAAGTCGCTTTTTATACTATCGATTTTCTTTATTCCTACGGAAGAGTAATTCCGAACCAAGTCACTTTTAAAACAATAACAACTTTAAAGCTATAAAGCCGCGCTTGCTATACATAGCAAACCCAATCGATAAGATCGATTTACGTACGAGCAGATAGCAACTATAGCCGATCGAGCAATTGGACTTTTAAGTAAAGAGTCTAGCCGATAAAAAGCAGCGGGGTATTATACCCTTCGAGTCTTATTACCACTTACGGAACTCTTAGCTATTCAGCCGAAGAAACCATTATACTTAAGACTCTTAGACTTATCGAAAAAACTAAACGACGAGATATCGAGCATCTTATTTAATTGTCGTGCGGGAATATAGGGTTATAAGACTGGTTACTGCAATGTGCATTGCAGGTCTGCTTTTGCACATCATTAATTTAAACGAACTACCGTACGCAAAGCTCGATAATAAGATTACGGCTCGAGCGATAATAAAAGACTTCTTAAATGCGAAGTGCAAAAGATTAAAGGATTACGACTTATAAAGCTTATTCCGGCACGCTTTTTTACGCTAAGATTAAACGAGCTTTACGATAACGAAAAACAATATAAAAAAAGGCTTTAAGTTTGCTACTTTTATTAAGCTTAGAAAACACTTGCTGTTTAAAAGAACATAATGCTCTTTAAAGCAAAGAAATTACGCTAATAAAATAATTAAGCTTTTAAACGACGAGCAGCAATACTAATAAACCTTTAAGGAAATAAAAGAGCAATAAGCAACACCTTTAAGCTTCGAATCAAAATGGACCGCCGAAAACCTTACGAACGAAAAGGATATTATACTTCGACCACTTTTACTTTCGCGCAGTTTAAAAAAGAAGGAAAAAGAGACTTCAAGTAAAAGAAAGAAAAAAAAGATTCGAAGATTGCGCGAAGAGTTTGCGAAAGAGAAAAGAAATATAAAACAAAATATAAAAGCGATAGCAAGGCAAATAGCGGAATTACGGATTTACGCGATATAATACTTTAAAAGACTACGAAAGAGTACGCTAAAAAGGCAAGCTACTTAATCAATATACTTAGCGGTATTAATCAATCAATCGCTATGCAATACGCTAATCATATAAAAAGAGCCAAAATCATTTTAGCGGCCCTTAAACCCTTTTCTTAAAAGCTATAGCCGGGTTTCCGAAAAACCAAGACCAAATAGCAATAAAAACGGTCTTAAAATTATTATCGGATTAAACAACGATCGAGGCTACGAAAGTTATACGCTAAAAAAAGACCTTTTAAAACTTAAAAGCACTCTAAGCAAAATCAGCTTTTATTAAAGATAGCGTGCAAATTTCCGTGCTTAACTTTAGTAATCCGAAAAAAGGATCTAATACTTTCGGATATATCGGCAAGCTTTTTAAATCTTAATCTTTTAAAAAGCTACGTATTAATAAAAAGGATATTGAGAGTATAAGAATCGTTAAAAGCAAGCTTAAGGATACGGATATTATTAAGCTAAAGCATTAGCAGGTGACCCGAATAGCTTTAACGACTTTAACGATAATTTACGAAAAAAAAACGAAAGAGATTAGCAAAGAAACCGAAGGCACGGATACGGAAAAGATAAAAACGGCTTTTTTAAATTATAAAAAGGATTCGGAAACGGACTTTTAAAAGACCTCGGATTCGGAAATTGCAATCGTCGTCTTTAAAACTTAAAACTTAAATTAAAGATCTCGGATAATAAAAAGTAGTTTACTACTTTTCTTTTTTCTTTATTTACTTTTATTTAACTACGACGGTCGAAGAGTCGTAAGATCGCGTTATTAGAAAATTCGTTTTTTAAAAGCTTGCGGATTTAACTAATAGCTTTTTTAATTAATTCCGCGGCAACTTAAAAGGCATTATCGATATTCTCGTTTAAGTTTAAGCGGTCGAAAGCTAATTAATAAAAGTCTTAGCAAAAGTTAATAAAAGCTACGTTTATACTTATAAGGTCTTTAATTTCGACGAGTCCGAGGTAGCGGTTTAATACGGCTTTAGCTAGTTCGTACTCGAAGTTATCTCTTTTTTTAATAGCTAGTGTTAATAACGATTAAATCTCGAAAGAATCGCGTTGCATTTTAAGTGCAAAAGTTAAAAAAGAGCTTACGTCGATAGACTTGCGTAAAATAGATATAATCGAAGCAATCAAGTTAGCGTTTAAAAGCTTATTAATAAGGAATGATATCGATCTTTAAGATAAAGCAAGTAATAATAAGAAGCGCGCAATAAGTGATTTAAGCAAAAGGGTTTTAAAAGCAAAGGGTTGACTTGGTCTCGCTTTAATTGCTAACTTAATTAGCACTCGTGAATTACGGTTTACGAATAGATTTTTTAATCCGAGTTCTTTTTATAAAATAAAATTTTAAATTTGATTTTCGTCGGCAAACTTTATACGTTCTTTAAGCTCGTCGTATTCACTTTTAATATTGTCGAGAACTAAAATCAATAAGCTATATAATAAGACTTTTAGCTTTAGCTTTTTTAAGAGTTTTTTGTCCGGAATAGCAATTTTATTTTTTTACTTAGTATTAATCTTGTCTTTTATAGTTTAGCAAATAAAGTTGATTATCGTAGTATTAAGCTTAATAAACTTGCGTCTTCGGGGTATATTAATTATAGTTCTTTAAAAGACGACGTAAGTAATAATATAATAGTTAATGACTTAGATAGCGTAAGCGTTAAAGGTGCAAGTTTTTAAAATGACGCCTAATTAGCGAGCGCTGCGAATTAAAGTGTATATAGCTTTAAAATAATCGTCGTATAGCAATTAGCTTTTTGCGCTATCGAAAGCTCTTTTAATTCGTTTATATTCTTCGGCATTTTTATTATAAAGAAAGTGGATAGCGGTGATTTTAATAATAAACTGGTCGTAAATCGAAAGAAAGTCTTCGGCGTTTATATTCTTTCTTGCGCATTCGGCTCGTAAAAACTAATTGTATTGCAAGATCAAGTCGTCTTTTTTATTTAATTTATTATTAAAGTCGGAAGTTGCTATTTTAAGCATAACTAATTGATTAGAGTTGCTTATTTAACGATAAATCTAAAAGAACTTATCGAAGGTCTTGATGATTCGTTTTTCGAACTTTAGCTCGAAGCTCGATTATCGGATTAAAGCAGCTTGCTTTTCGCTTATTAATAAGCTAAAAAGTGCATCCCGGACAAGAGCTTTTCTTTTAGCAGCGGTTGACTTAAAAAGCATATTTAATTCGTAAACTACGGTTTACGAGTCAAATATAAAATAGCGGAACGAAGGCTGATAATAATAATGATTAATTAAGTGATAATTAAGGTCGTTAGTGATAATATAGTATTATATAATTAAAAAAAGGAGTAGTGGAAGTATTATTATAGTTGTTATTATATAAAGAGAGAAAATGTTAAGAAGAAAGGCAAAAGAGCTTTTTTATATAAGTACATTTATAAAGAAGACCTATTCTTTCAAGTTTCTAATAGCAATTTACTTTCGAATATACGTAGTTAAGCACGCTTAAACCAAAAGAATAGTCTCGATTAAGAAATAAGAAATAGCCGTATAAGCTTAAAACAAGTAAAAAACAATTAAATAATAAAAACAATTTATTGTCACCTACAGTGACCCAAGATAAATTCTAGTAGTTGTGGTAGTTAGTTATCTAATCACGTGAGACTGTTCTATACCGGTCTGGCAGGATTTCTGAGAGTGCCAAGACTTTTATTTTATGTTAATCTGTAGTGCTTACCAGCACTAAGATCAGAAAGAGATTCTGTAGATTGAATGAAGCTTAGTATATTCTATCTAAAAAGCTCGTCAAAATCTATGTATATGTACTTAAGAGCTTTAATATGCTAAAAGCGCTATTAAGCGAAGTTATATAACATATCATATATAGCTTAAATAGAACTATGCTTATTCTGCACAACACACCTTTTAAGTCAGCAAATTAGCTGCTAAGCTGCAAGCAAACAAAAAAGAAAAAAAAATAAGTAATTAAGCTTTTTAAAATCGATATAAACAAAAGAGATTGTTATCGCAGTCTAAAACAAATAAATAACAGTTGTTATTATTAATTGAGTATCAATCAAGAATGCAATTCTTTCTTAAGTCGGTCTTATTACGTAGCGGAAGTTTTTAGCGTCGTCTTTATCGCGTTGCTATATAAGTAAAAGCGCGTCTTTTTTTATTATAACAAACACTTAACTTTTATTTATTTATACAATGCCTCTTAAGCAAGTAACTCAGTTTAATAAAATCGTTAAGCGCGGCCGAGGCCGTCTAAGAGTAAATGCTTTTAATAAATTAATATTTCTATGCTAATTATTAAAAGAATCCTTTATCTGCTTTAGCTGTTGCTGCTGCTACAGCTGCGGCGGCGGTTATACTTCGCACTCTTACTTCCGAACTTTCGCCTTTTCTTTTAGACCTTTTTATTAAGCGCTTGCTTATGCTAACGACCGTCAAAGCTTTAAAGTGCATTAAGTGTATTAATAATAAGATCATATCGGAGTTTAATAAAGACTATTATAATTGCGATACAAGCGCTATTCGCTGTTTTTAATGTGCTAAAAGTAGTTATAACAATTGCACCGCTGCTTTTGCCGTTGCTAATACCGCTTTCGAAAACTTCGTAAGCGTTAAAGATAATAGTGCTATATAAAAAGTTCGCCGAAGTCTTTAAGATGCTATACGATAACAGCTCGCTTTAAATACTGCTCTTTCAAAAAGTGTTGCTAATAGTCCGGGCGGTCTTGCGAATAGAAGTAAAAGTTTTAAAAATAATCTCGATAGCTTTATAAGTTTTGCTCTTGCTCTTAAGACTTTCAATTTAAATATAGCTTTTGTTAGATTGAATGGTCTTATAATAGCGAACCGTAGTCCGGTAATACGAAGCGCTTCGAGCATATTACTTTTTCGTAAGTTAAGCTCTTTGACTTTCGAAATAAACTAATCTAAGCAGCTCTTTTTAATTAAAACTTCTTTTCGGACTTTATACAAAAGCTTTAATCTACTGCTATTGTTGGATTGCTTCCAAGCGATTGGGAATATATATTCGTAAGGTCGTAACGGTCGTCAAAGTACTTGCAATTGCAAAACACTCGGTTGATAAGGTATCTGAATTCTAACTGCTCCCCAAGGCTCAGGGGAGATGACTCCTTCTATATGATTAGAAGGAATCACGTGCACTAGCTAGCTAATAGGTTTACTAGTCAAGTTGGGGGTCCCTTGACTGCTGACATGCTAAGCGAGGCATGCCAAGTGGCCCGTGAACCATGGTTCAAGGGTGAGTTCCCCAACTACTACTACTACTACTACTACTACTAGCTAAGGTCGATATAGAGATACCGACAGCTATAATAGCTCTTGCGCTTGCGCTAGCCGCTTTTGTTATTCTCGTCGCTTTTACAGCTCTCGTCGCTCCCGTCGCACTTATTATCGTCGCTCTTTTTGCGCTAGTTGTTGCGCTTGCCGCTTTCGCAGCGGCGCTCGCCGTTGCTATAACTCTTACGAAGCGCCGAGCTAAAGTAAAAAGATTGCTAAGAGCTTTAATTGATCTTTTATTATAAAAAGCGAAAGGTAAAAGCGTGTAAAATAAAATAAAATAACGACTAAGATTACTAAATAGATGTTTTCTTTTGAATTACGTGCAAATAAAAAAAAAAATATAATAAGTGAATAGTATATGCGTGCTATTAAAGCTTCTCGACGAACGCGCGAGCGTTTTATAAATTTAAGAACTTGATAAAGCTCTTAAACTTTTGTCGAGTCAAGTTCTTTATAAGACTATCAACGTGCATCTTATTAATAAAGAAATATTAAACTTGAAAGCTTTTTTTAAAGTGCTCCTAGCGCAGTCACATATTATAAATATCGACGTAGCGAAGTTTAATAGAAATACGCTCTTTCTTATTAGTTATAAGCTTGATAGTTTATTAATTATTATAATAGACTACTTAAAGCGACGCAAAACGAAGGTACAGCTCTTTGAAAAACCGTTAAAGCGCTATAATCTCTTTTACTATAAAGGCCATGCTAAGAAGCTCCGCTTTAATAAATGATATAATGATTATATCTTGCTTTAAAGCTTTTTAAATAATCGCACTTTTAAACAAAAACACAATGTACTTTTAAAAAGATCGCTTCGTCTCTTCGTTATCGGCGTAAGAAGCGTTAAAAGCTATTACTAGCTCCGACTTGCTAAACTAGCTATATTAAATACCTTTGAAGCGCGAGCCAAATAGATATCGCAGACACTAGTTTATAGCTCGGAAGTGCTTTGCGCTTAAATTAATATTAAAGTGAAAAAGTTAAGAAGCTGCAAAAGCTATATTTAAGCGTAGCATGATCGCTATATATAGTACGGATCTAACCTTCTTTTAATACTCTTTTATTTGCTTCCGCGAAGCTATCTTTTCATTCTTGACTAAGTCATAGAACAGTAATAGAGTTGCTAAGCAGCGTCCGTCCGTAAGACCGAATTTCTTAGCTATTTTTTCAATATAAGCGTCGTGCATAAGCGTTAGCGTTTCTCGCTAACGGTCGCGGACGACTCTTATATCAAAAAACTATTCAATATCTCTTATTGTAAACACCCTGCCTAATGGGGTACCTGCCATGGCCACTAAGGCCATACTAGACGGACCCATCTTTTATAAGAAGGCACACATCTTTTAGCTAAAACAATCAACGAGCTTTCAACTTATCTTTTTTAATACTTTCTTTATAAGACCATAAGGTTTAACCTTAAAGCCAAGCTTTTATACGGCATATCTTTTTAGGTGCTTCTATATTGGTGACCTACGCAAGGATTCAAACCTTTAGTCTCTGTCTTTATACAGTCTATTACAATCGCTTAAGTCGCAGTCAAGTTGACTTTCGTTCATCATTCAGCCCTCTTCACACTTTACAATTACAACTTCAAAACAATCAAAACCTTATTCCCGATAAGTTCGGACACCGAAACGCCGCAATAGCCGAAGTGCAATATTTCGGCTTCTCGGCAAAAACTCTCTTTTATTATTAATGTAGAAGCACCAAAAAAGACGTGTCATACAGAAGCCTGACACTGAGGCTAGACCTCATAGTCTCACAAAGAAGTGCTAAAAAAGATAGGTAAAAAGCTCGTTGATTGTTCTAGCTAAAAGATGTGTGCTTTCTTATAAAAGATAAGTCCGTCTAGTATAGCCTTAATAGCCATAGCAAGTACCCTATCAAGCAAAGTGTTTACATCCGTCCTTTTATAAAATAAGTAAGCGCCCTCGCTTACTATTAAGCAAGAAGAAAAAAAAGACTGTAAAAGAAAGAAAAAATCTAGTGTACAAAAAAAAGAAAGTATCTTGTCTTTAAATTCTAAACATTTAAACTACTAAACTACGCTTCGGCAGCTTTCTTATAATCTCTTTCCGTGCTTACGTCCTTAACTCCTTCGTTCTCCTTAAGCTAAGAAGGTCTTCTTCTTTTAATAAGGCTAGCATTAAACGATAACGTGCTAGTAGTAGTATCTTCAAAAGTAAAAGAGCGCGTATCGTTCTTGCGCTTATTGCTAATAGCATTGTTAATAAGCGTGAACTTGGCCGACGAAGAGTCAGCGAGGCTAAAATAAAGTCCGAAGCTATTAATTAAGTCGTCTTCGTCTTTAGGCAAGTCATCTAAGGCTTTTATAACTTTATCGAATGCGCGGTCTAAGGATTCCGGCTAAGAAGATGATGCCTTAAAATCGTCGATTTAACTCGTAAACCGTAATTTACGAGTAGATTTCGCACTTTTTAAATTAATCTTTATACTTGAATCGGAATCGTTAAAAAACAACTCAATCGATCGCAAACTCTTTTTAAAATCTTTTAACTTATCGGCGTTTATAAAGTCGTTAGCTCAGCGGCTCTTGCTTTTAAAAAAAGACTTAGCTCCGTAAGTCTTAGCTTTAGCATTTAGCATAATAGCAAATCTTTTTTTAAATGCCGAAAACAACTTCTTTTTATGCTTAATAATGTAAACACCCTGCCTGATGGGGTACCTGCTATGGCCATTAAGGCTATACTAGACGGACCTATCTTCTATAAAAGGGCACACATCTCTTAGCTAGAACAATTAACGAGCTTTTCTATTTATCTTTTAGCACTTCCTTTGTAAGACCATAAGGTCTAGCTTTAGAGCTAAGCTTTTATACGGCATTTTTTTTTAAATGCTTTTATATTAATGACTTACGTAAAGATTCAAACCTTTAATCTTTGTTTTTATACAGCTTATTACAATCGCTTGATTCGCAATCAAGTTGATCTTCGTTTATTATTTAGCATTTTATACTCAATTACAACTTCAAAACAATTAAAACCTTATTCTCGATAAGTTCGGACATCGAAACGCCGTAATAGCCGAAGTACAATATTTCGGGTCTTCGGTAAAAATTCTTTTTTATTATTAATAAGAAAGAATTTTCATTTATTAGTGAAAATACCTTTTTATACTTTAGCTCTCGTCTTGAATTAAAGCAATTAACATAGTCCGGAGTTATTAGCGAAGCTAATCAATTGATTCTTAAGTTTTTTATAGTTTTAATCTTAATTATTAGTTTACTTTTATAAAAAGTCTATTCTTTTTAATTTCGAATCGAAAATACTTTACGAAAATCGCTTATTTTACTCGTAAACTTGGTTTACGAGTCAAAATCAAACAATTCAAAAACCTTTTATTAACTTGATTATTTTTAATATATATATATATTTGATCTTTAAAATAACGAAAACCTTTTTAAGATTTCTAACATCGAAGTCGGCGCTGAATCACTTTTTCTTTCGTTAAAATCTTTTAAATTTATTAAATCTTTTAATCGTATTTTTATAAGCTTTAAACTATCTTTATTTTACTTCGACTTTTAATTAGAACTTTTACTTTTATCGGAAATACTTATTTCGAAAATGCTTTTTCAAATCAACACCGGTTTTAAGATTTATATTACTCTTCTTTTTTTTACTTCTCTTGCTTTTCTATTAAGCTTTGCGCTAATTATAATCGACCTTGCTATCTTTTACGCTTTTATAACTACTCGCATGCTATTGCTAAGTGCTTTAAGAGCTCTTTACTTTAATAGTGTTAACATCACCGACTTTATCGAAAAGTACGAAAAGACTTATAATAACTTTAATATCTTTAAAAACGATCGGTTTATCAAGCTCTTTCGTTATTACGATAACTTTCGTAAAAAGGTTATCAAAAGCTTGCTCGAATAAAAAGCTAAGAAAAATTAAGTTGCTTTCGTTAAAGCTTTAAGAGCCGAGTTTCGTAAGAACGATATTTAACAGATCAAAGACTCGGTCGCTTTCTTGCGAGAATTTGCTATATAAAAACGAGATGTTAATAACTTAAAAAACTATTATCGCACTTTCTTTCGAGTCTTCGAAAAGCTTACTTCGATGCACTTTTTAAGCAAGACCGAACAAAGCCGCTTATTTCTTTTCGAATTACTCGTCGGAATCCGAAACAAAACGATTAAGCATTATAAAGTCGATGAACTCGACTTAGACTTTTATGCCGCTTTCGACGACTTCGTTGCATTCGCTTTTAAAACCGATTAAAGTGCTAAGACTATCGAAGCTATAAATCGAGAAAAGTCTTTTTTAATTAATTTTATTAAAGATATTCGGACTTTAATCAAAAAGCACACCGAGCTAGTTAGCGTGCTTGAGTCTGTTAAGAAAGCCTTCGTAATAATATCGTTCACTCGTAAACTATAGTTTACGAATAAAAAAAAGAATTAATAAAGTAAGTTTTATAATTAAAAAGTTTTTTAATTTGCAGATTAATGCGATTTATAATCGAATTGATTATTTCGAAGACTAAATCGTTAATTTAACTTCTTAACGCTTTATTTAATCTTAACTTTAAGTTCGATTCGAAAACTACGACGAAGCTTTTATTAAGTATACCGCTTAAGATGCTCGAAATAAAATCAGCTTCGAAAGTAAAGTTCAGATTGCTATTATCGGCTACGGACTATAAAAACGAAAAAGAAAAAAAAGTAAAAGATACGAAAGCTAAATACAAGATTATAATTTTTACGAGAACTTTAAAGACACAATTTAAGCTCTTTATTAATACCGGGATGAATATAAAGCTTTTAAAGATATAATTAATAAAGAATGTATTTATATTAGTGATTACGGACGCTTTTGCTTAAAACTTAAAAGGATCGATGCTTTTATTATTTAAAAAAAGCAAAGAAAGACTTGATTTAAATCTATCGTATTAAACGTTCGTAAAACGAAATACGATAACATCTTAAAAAATCGACTTATTAGCGGACTTAAGACTTATAAACACTTGTTTTCTTATTAACAATTAATTTAATAGCTAGCTTAGTATTAGCTAGATCAAAATCCTTAGCGACTAACCAATTAGCTAAATGAACTTACTATTATCTTTAAAAGACTAGTCGATATTAAAAACATTAATACTATAAAGTAGATTAATACGCTTAGTTACTTATCTAATATAAAAGTTGTTTCGGTCGAGATCAACGCTACTATAAAAGACAAAGCTAAAAAGCATTTTTCGCTTTCGAAAAGATCTA